TAGTGGGGGGGGGGGGGGCACTCCTAGAAGAAGTGGGGGACCCATCCGATTCTAATCTAGCACCTATCACTGAGTTTTCAAGGCTTTACATTCGCTGTAGAGCTGAGTGAAATCAAAATGAGTGACACCATTGACTTTTACTGGGGCTTTGAAGCCATACATACGGCTATTCTCAGTCTCTCTCTGGACTATTTTAGGCTCTCCGGGATATTTTCATAACATGCTGCAACATGAATGGCAGTCTTTATTCAATCACATTCTGGCATGTGGTTATTTCCCCTCCCAAAAAAAAGAAAAATAGCAAGATAAACCAAAGGTTAACAGAAAAATGGAATATGTTAGGTGTTACAAAGCCATTACTCACAACCCCCCAGCCGTCATTTTGCCCTTTTTGCCTCATTTTGGAGAACGACACAATCTCCCCCAAGAGATCACATTCCATGTTGCTGATTACCACAGATTCACACATGAAAATGCATGCTGAGATTTTTATTTTTCTTGTAACATTCAAGACAGATGTTTCTCATCCCCCCACTGAAAACAGCAAAGAGTGATTTCATAGCCCTTTTTTAATATTAGCAGCTATGCTAAACATTAGCAGCCATCACCTTTTGCTGCAAGTGGTGGGCTCCTCGGAGAAATCATGATTAAAATCTCAGCAGGCAAATCACACCCATCAGTGGTAACAAGGTGGTCATAACCATAGCCTTCTCATTACAGTGTGGACTGAAAAAATGAATCGGGATACAAAGTTCAATAAATGGTTCGCATGCCATAACGATACAGTATTCGGAAGGCTTCCCTGCAGAGGAGGCTCTCTGAGACTCAAAATCACTGCCCCAGGCACTCTAGGAAACTGGTCTCAGTTAGGAACCAGTTGATTGTTACTCCCATCGAAGTTGAAGGTCACTGGCGTTCCCTGTGAGAAACCATACAACCGCAGATTGCACCATCCTCCCACACAGAGCCCTCATTTGTTATAAAACCACTCTACAACTGATCCACAAAGCTTGATCCTCAAGGGCAACCAAGAGAAAATCTTCAAAAATAACCCTGGAAACAAAAATTCAATTTTCTATTGTACAGTAAACATTTTAGACCTGAAAAAAGGCATTTAAGTGCCTAACAACTTGCCTATTTTTTATCCAGATGAAAATACTGTCTCTCCCTCCAAACCTTGCCTTTTTACAGCCACTGACCTTCACGGCTACAACATGATCAACAGACAGAGAGCTAGATTTAAGAGAAAAACAAGAGGAAGAAAACAGCCTGGAGACTGGCTGCACTTTCTATAGACAGACAAAACATGTATGAAGAAGAATTTCTCATTTTGCTGCTCCCCAGGAAAAGAAGTGGTGAGCAATTGACATACTTCGAGCTACAGTGAAGAGCAAATACTTGAGACTTGATTTTTGGGTGTGCAGAGCATCCACAATGCCTGATAAAATCATTGTAACCCTTCACCAGTTCTCATATCGGTCTGGCATTTATTTGAAAAAGAACTAAACTTTATAGATAGGCCTTGAAACCCAGAGATAGTAAGAAAAAAACAGTGCTTTCAAAAATGGAGGTTTAAATCAGCTGAATATGTAGCCTTATTTTCAAGAAACTGAGCCAGCAGCCCTGACTGTAACAGTGTGAGTTGAGAGTCAATGATGCAGCTACTGAACCTCCCAACTGAACCTGCCTGTAGGTATTTTGTTTTAAATTCTTTTCCAAATTACCTGGAAATCTTTGAACAAAAGATGCAATGAAGCATTTTATGTGTCATGAACAGCTACTGCTTAGACAGCTACAAGGTGTTCCACCTCGTGTTTTAACCTTCTGCCTGCTGTCTGGCCGCAGTCATGTGTATGAGCAGGCGCCAGATACAGTTGTGTATGACTAGCGAAAGTATACCTGGAAATCACTTGTACTCCACTCAGCAATGCTACTGAATCAGACTGAATCGGAGTGTCCCACCATGTCCTCTGGCACGGGTGGAGCCGGGTGTGTGCGTGTCTCTTCCAGCAACTATAATTTCTAAGGGAAAGCAGCCAAGTGTAGCAGACAGAGATTAAAAGCTTTAGATGGAAGCCGTGAACCGGTAGGTTGGATGGATTTGATTCTCTATTCTTTGCACATTCCCCTAGTTAGTGTGTTTGCCATCTGATGTAAGTCTTTCTGCTACATTAGCATCCTATGATCTCCCCTGATCTTTCTCAACATCTTAGATGCCATGAAGTCACCTCGTCTCTAAGTCTTAAAACGAGAGTCTGAAGAATCCACAGAAAATAATTCACTTTTAGTAAAAGTGATTGGACCATGAAAGATTTCTCCGAGAGCCTCTTACTCTCTCTATGAGAGGATTTATCTCAGGCAACACTGGGGCAGTGGGCAATTCAGGGGCTAAACCAGGAGCTGACAGAGCTCAGCCCAGCTCCTGTGATTTAACGAAGACAATCTGTATCTGGGCTGAGGAGGCACTCCTGATTGTGTGGAACAGAGCAAATGTTTGCATGCAAAATAATAAATTTTAGGGTGAGCAGAACAAACGATGCAGGGCCATCTTTTACAACCATTCTCGTAATACAGCAGAACACTAGCTACAGAAATTAGCAGTCATTAGTCAAAATGGAAATGTGACTGTATTAGGCTTTGTTAATCTTTATTAGTCTCTAAACACACAGTATGAAAGCAGCACTTGCAGGTACAACCTCAAGTCTTTGATTAAACATAGTGGTGTATTTCAGAAATAAAAACTCAAAGCTGACTCCCACTCTTCCTGTGGGCTTTTTAGCAAATAGAAATAGCCTGAAAAGAAGCACTGAACTGTGTTTTCTCACAAAATGAATGAATGTACAGACAGGTAAAGGACCTTGCCCTGAATTTCCTGTGCTTAGATTATTGGCCCAAAAGTTGATGAACACCTTCTGGTGCTGAGATTTTCAAGGCCGAGCAGTGAACCTGCCCCACAGCCTCCCACTGATGTTAACAAAAAGTCTGTAGCAAAAATGCCTGGATGGCTTTCAGAACTTCAAACAATACCTCTCTGAGCGAAGATTCACTTTTAAAAACTCTAGCTGAGAATTTAAAATACATATTCTTTGCTGTATAAATTGTCCAAGCTACATCGAAATCAGTGGACATATGAAAATCCCGTTTACTCAAGACCTGTACTTTAGCACTTAAGATTACAACATCCTATTCATAATCATCCTAATCATTAGAGATTCTGACTGCCCACAACTCCCGTTAAAGTCACATGAAACTTTTGATCTCTGCAGAATACTTTGTGATCAAGTATCAGCTAAACCGCCCCTAAACAGCAAAACTGAGAGAACAAGGGTGCGCAAAATCTGGGTTAGCTAAAACACCAGCCTGTGCTCCCAACCATTTGGCAGGCAGAAGCTTTGGAGCTGTAACATGCAGGGCAGCTGGCATGGCTCATCTAGTTGCTTTACATCACACCCATTCTTCTCATGTTTGCTGATAGGAACTTTTTGCCTTTCCCTTCAACACTTCCAGAGAAAAGTACAGCAGCAGCTGCTGCATTCAGCACGGCCAGCAGCATCGTGTAACTAATACACCCATTTGATCCTAGAAGACAGCTTCATCTCAGCACCATGCCGCCAAGAAGTGGTGACAGTTATACGCCTTTCAAACCCCTAGAAAATCCTAACTCTGTGCTGGCCACAGATGACTGCTGAATGCCAGCACCAAATCCCTCTACATAGCACTTGGCGTTTGATGTCCTACCTTCTCCAGGTGTGTCCTCATAGCGAAGGATAATTGTTCCACTGGCAGTGATGCCTGCTGCTTATAAATAGTATATACGCTATGTCTACCTGTGGGTGTATTTATGTGCACGCGTGCATGCATATTTATATCTGTCTTGCCTGCGTAACCCCGAGAGCTAGTCCTAACCTATCAAGCACTGTGGTAGAAGCAGGAGGCGGGGGAAAGAAAGCATATTGAGTAATGCCAGAAAATTTCTGAAGAGCCCAATGCAATATATTCCACAGAAGACCTGAAAGAACAGGTCAGCCCATCATGCAACCTACCGTTTGACTCACCCATCGCTTCAGTGGACCGCAGCTTCCTTGTTTATTTAGCCATTTGATTATTCAAAGCACAAAACTCCACGTCTCTCCATATATCACTGACAAGGTAGAACAGGAAGGTGCGTTCAACTGTGTCTTAATACATTTGAACAGGATTTCTACTTTCAGGTAAGAAAAAGTACAGAAAGGAAATACCCTCAGAAATCCCACATTTTCTCAGAACAGACGGGGCCATGAGTCTCTCCACTTTGTCAATCACTAAATCAGAACAATTTCTAAAAAGAACATTCATGTAAGTTGAGGGAAGTATACGTCCTATGACAGAGACAGTCAAAACCATCCAGGAGTTATAGGAGAAACCTCCAACCTTCTGCACTGCAAGAATGGTTAAGGGCTCAGAGGATTTTTCTTTCCGGCACTATTACAGACATCACATGGGTCATGTCCCCTGTGTGCAATACAACATGCTTTCTTTGCTGTACAAATGTAAGGAGTGAACTCTCTGGAGGCAAGCATGCTTCCCACTCACTGTATACACATTATCCAACCCCACATTCTCCATTTCTGGTGGCACTGGGTGCTCGGTACCAGCTGGGTACCAGCTCCTTGTTCCTCCCCAGGCAATGAGGGGATAAGAGCAGCATGGAGAGGGTAGGGAAAAGGACAGAGTGCCTGTACCAAGCCATCTGAGAACAATGGTAGGAGAAACATAATGGGAAATATTTCAGAGGAATATGAAGGAGCAATCAGGGCAGGAGAGGAAGACAGCAGCTTTCTGAGTTGTAAAGGCAAAGTAATGAGTGAGGAAAGGCATAGACTACACTGCAAACGATTTTATTCCTAGGCCACGTGGCAACAGCAGGCGGTGGAGAAGTTTGATCTAGCTAAACCAGAGGAAACTCTCCTTCCCTTACTTATCAAATTAGTGTATATTTGGTCTAATTCTGGGGGCCCACTGCGCCTTCCTCTCCCCTTATCCCTTTCCCACAAACCCTGCTATTCCCTGTTGAACCCATCACTACCTGAACTTTTGACACCGCCTATTTGGGTTTTTTACTTGGTAATGACCAGTGACAGTAACTGCACTGGCAGGAAGTGAATTTTACTGACCTACACTGCTCCCACAAGCTTCTTCAAACCGTCAAAGTGTTACGGTACCAACTGAGTCACCACCTTTTTTCAAACTCAGTGACTTGCTAATGGCCCCATCCTCAGATGATCTTTTGTAGGAAGTAAACCTGTCCAACCTAAGGCAGGAGATAAGCAAACACACACGTCACCATGACTTGATTTCACATGAATCGAGTTTCAGTTATACAACGTTGTGTTTCGCCCCTGTCGTGGTTTAATCTGTCGGCAACTAAGCACCACGCAGCCGCTCGCTCACTCCCCGCCCCCCAGTGGGATGGGAGAGAGAATTGGAAGAGTACAAGTGAGAAAAAACTCGTGGGTTGAGATAAAAAACAGTTTAATAATTGAAATAAAATGATAATAATAATAATATGATAATAA